CGATAAACGTATCAAAAAACAAACATTCAAACCGTCAAACTGGACAAACAGTGGACACTCACACAACCACTGCCTCCACAGAGAGTTAACCGTAATTTATGTGACAATAAATGTTATTTAGTTTTCAAAAGTTGTAAATTTAGTTATATTTAGTTATATTTATGAGTAAATTATAATTAAACGCTATTTAAATGTACAGAAATGTGTGTCAAGTGTTGTGTAATACATGCAAATCCAATGGACTGCTAGTGAGGCGCCCATTGACCACAAACGCCTATAATTATGGTCTGTTTTCAGTGATCAGTCAGAAGATAGCCAACTCTCTTGTGGTGAACTCAGCCAAAGATCAGCTCATACTATGGCACGAGTGGACGGGTATGTCGTGGAGCGCGGAGATAGCGGTCGTGACGATCGCCATCCGGGCGCTCATCACATTCCCTCTGACTGTGGGTCAGCACAAGATATTAGCCAAATATGACGCTCTGAGGCCAGAGCTGATCCAATTCGGACAGAGGCTCAAGAAGGAGGTGGACTCCGCTCAGTATCTGTACAACTGGTCACCCATTAAGGCTAAACTCATGTATAATCTTAGGGTTGGGACCTAACTGTCGAGACAATCGATGGCTAATCCATTGACACTATGATTGACTTCGTTTCAGATGAAACAGGAGACCAAACGACTGATAATTAGAGACAATTGTCATCCAATGAAGGGCTCGATCGTAGTGTGGGTTCAGATCCCCGTTTGGGTGATCCTCTCGCACGCCATCAGAAACATGTCTTTCATGTATCCGATCGCTGACCACAACTCGCAACTCATTCACAGCCAACTGTCCACTGAAGGCATACTCTGGTTCTCAAACCTCACGCTATCGGACCCTTACCTCGTGCTACCGTTCCTCACGGCTGTCGTCAACTTAACTATAGTTCAGGTGATTGTCTCGCAACTGATGGACAAACTCTTTGCCTCACTCTTTGTGTCACCAAAACGTCGACAGTGAGGGGTAGGGGTAGGGGTAGGGAAGGGTATAGTGTTATGCAATCATAGGTTTCAATTGATTAGTAAATAAANCACAAAACAGTTGCCCACAATACCCAACACAAAGACTATGGTGTAGGCCATGCATAGGATGATGGAGACGCTGGACGAGTGCCGGAACCACATCTCCTCCGACCAGTCGAAGCCGACCTCCTCTTCCCGTAAATCATGAGCCGATATGTTGTCGCGATTGTCGGCATTGAGTTCAATATTATAGTCACTGGTATTTAGCATCTCTAGAGTTTGTGCCGCAAAACTTAAGCTTTTATTTATCCACACATTTGTCTGCTGTTGAGATCTCATTGTTATATCGAAATTCTTAGACCAGAATATACACACAAATTCACGAATTTGCTCTTTGCTTACGAATAAATTGAAAAGTTTTTACAAGTGTTTGGAAAACTTTTATCATAACATGCTTGATTGTACGGCAAATATTAGACTCAATATTGAATGTTGAGAAACATTTTGTGGGAAACTGAGTGCGATTAGAGAGAGTGGTGTTTGTCGAGTGAATGTCTTATGAAAGGGTTGGTTACGAGTGCCGTAAACCGTGTGTGAATGTGATGGTATGCCACAGCGTGTTAGCACTGTTAGCTAATAGCTATGAGAGGCTAGAGAGCATGGATACTGCACAGGGATGCCTACCATAGCATCCAATACTCCACTACCCATGTCTTCGCATTAAACTATTGTAACCATTCATCGCTATATAACACTGTATTAAAAGTCCATTCAAATGGTATTCATGTTGTATATCATCAGTGAATTCATTTACTGCTAAACTGTGATAACTTTAACAATTAATTAAACAATACACTAATAGTATACTATACGTAAAACTTACAGTAAGCTAGGTTAGGTTAGCTAAGTTAATTCCATATCCACTACAGTATCATTCTTATACTAGTAAAACTTTTATACAAAGTAGCCAAAATTGTGTAAAACAATTTTATATTTAGTTGTAAACACCCATTAAATGACCACGCTAACTATAAAAGTGAAAAAAGTAAAATAGTAATCCCAAAAAAAGTGAGCAAGCAAAAAGGCACCACCGAGATTCGAACTCGGGATCTCCTGTTTACTAGACAGGCGCTTTAACCAACTAAGCCATGGCGCCCCCCACGAGCTGCCCGCTCACTAGCAGTGGTAGTCATAGGCAGTGCGTTCACAGCCCACTCATAGTTCACTCGCGCTGTCAGCCAATGAGCGCTCGCCCCATAGGTTTCATCACTATTTATTCACACAATCGCCTGAAATATGAGCGTAAATAACGTGACGACTAAAGTGCGTACTCCTGTCCCCCGTTGTAGTCAAAAGTGGCAAAAGTAAGACACAAGTTGTGGACGTATTTGATGCCATGTTTTGTGTGGCAAACCGTTTGTTTGAAATGAAAAGTGATGGCAAACTATTGACAAACACTGCCTTTTGATTGAGTTTAAAAAGCCATTGAAATCCGTGTTAATTGCCGTCAATTATATTCAATTGTCCCCTTAATTGGCAGCCAATCCGTAGTGACCCGCAAACTACCCGTAAGTGTTGTCCCAACAAACCTTACCATTAAGTTATCACAAACTATAACATACCCTTTCAATGCCTGTCCACTCACTTAATTTACCACTAAATTAGTTATCACTCAAACCACTGGACACTGAACTCAGTTAACATGTATTTTATTATGTAATGTAATCACAATCCTAATCAATATGTGTATACAATATGTGAATGACTTGTAATGAGTGCTAATTAGTGTTGGTATGCGTGGACTGTACGCCAATGTGTTGTCTGAAAGCCTTTGAGTGCAAAACCCATGTCTGACACAAACCCATAGTCGACGACACGAACCAATACCAGCAGACGGACTGTCATTGATATGCCAAATATGAGTCTCTCATGCATTCATGTCATCACTAATTAGTGGCTATTTATCACTCACTGCTGGCATCACGAGTCCGATTGGGATGAGAGCCACACTCAGACCTCGCGCTGAGTTTGTGAGGATTGCATGCATTTTGGTCTTCTTCTCCATTTTCCTGAGCCTTTCGTTTGAGTGCAACTGAAACGAGAGTTTCGTTTCCCATGAGTCAGTCATTCATAGAAATAGTGACACTTTTATCACACTTTTCGCACCAAAACTTTTTCATTTACTAATCAATCTATACCTATGATTGCATAACACTATTCCCTCCCCTCCCCTCCTCTCCCCCTCACTATATGTTTAGTTAGCCCTCACTATCGACGCAAAGCAAACATTTTGGTGACACAAAGAGTGAGACAATAGTTTGTCCATCAGTTGCGAGACAATCACCTGAACTATAGTTAAGTTGACGACAGCCGTGAGGAACGGTAGCACGAGGTAAGGGTCCGATAGCGTGAGATTTGAGAACCAGAGTATGCCTTCAGTGGACAGTTGGCTGTGAATGAGTTGCGAGTTGTGGTCAGCGATCGGATACATGAAAGACATGTTTCTGATGGCGTGCGAGAGGATCACCCAAACGGGGATCT